CTTAGGCGCTTAAGCTGTATCTAAACGATTTGTAACCCGTTTATTAATGAGACGAATTGTAAACCAAAATCACCGACACCAGTGCACACATAATTACACACAGAAGAAAATGACACGCTCACGTATTCGCGCGTATTTCTGTACGACGGATTTGTATCACGGTATTCCTCACACAACGGTATTTAAGTTCGAAAACACTTAACGTGCATAGATTGTGTTGTATAAATAAAACACGGACGTCACGCGGTCCTGTGTGAATGCGAGCGATTCCTATACGTAACATAGGTATTTTTTAATATCCAATGAAGCAATATATATATTTTACATGTGAATAAGCATTGCGTGATTACTACTGTAACTATGAATTGTTAACGATATTATTATACGGACTCGCCGACACACAGACACAAACATATACCATACACAGACACACAGACACTCATACACACGCGCGATGTTATCTATCATAATAAAAAGGATCTCTTTGAAAGAAAGAAAAAAAAACAAGAAACAGAACTCTCGTGTGAGACCGATTTTCACGTACGGTGTGACTGAACTGCATTTGTGATACATAGGAGAGGAATAATAAAAAAACTGCTTTTTATCGACTTCGATTTTCGCTAACAATTGTATTTGTACTTTGGACACTGTGTTTTCTTTTGTTTCTTTGTTTTCGTTTTGGTTTTATACGTACGCAAAAGATATAAAAGGAGGTATAAAGAATTATGCTGGATATTATTCAATCGTTGAAACTGTCTTGGTGGGAAAAGGAATGTACAACACTCACTTCTGTCTTTGAACCGCTAATCTTCTTTTCCATCCCCATGAGCATGTATAACGTTCATCTCTGTGTAGTCTTTCGCAATGTCAATGTACTGGAAAACACTGATCATCGGTCAATGAACCAAAAAAAAATGATAATAAAAAGAAAAGAGAGTACATTGTACGGCTTACCTTTCTTGGAACGAGAATTTCTAAAATTTGTATAATGATATAGCACAACGACACAACCAGCAAATATACCAATACCCCACTGCGAATATAGTTTGCCAATTGTTCGCCTAAAGTCTTCCTCTTTTCTTGCCTTGCTAAATTGTATACTATCTCAGTCCTTCTGGTTATGTTGAACCAGTTGTAAAATAGACTTATCCTCTTGTTAGCTTCGAAAAGGCATCTTACATTATTTTTCCTATAATCTGCTATTGCAGTCTCCAGCCCTTCGACGAGTGCAGGCACCGTGGGTTCTACTAAATAAATTAAATCGGGAGGTAATACTTCGGGTATACCGCCAACTTTCGTTGAGACCACTTGCAAACTGCAACGAATGAGAATATTAATAAATAAAGTTAACGAAGCTTAATGGCATCTGCCAATGGATTTTGATTAGTTTAGGAATTTACCCGCAGGAGGCGGCTTCAACAATTGCCATACAATAAGCTTCCGTGAGACTAGTATTCAAAAAGATATGGCCCTTATTCAACACATGCCTGATTTCAGAATGCTCCAAGCTGCCCAGCAACGTGACTCTGTGTTGCAACACGTTTCTCTCTCGCATCTCTTCGATGAGCCACCTTTTAGGACCGTCTCCAGCGATCAAGAACCGCACATCCTCATGTCGACTACAAATATCGGGTATAATGCGAGCTAATAAATCGACGCCTTTGCGATACACTAGTCGCGATACTATGACTACTGTAACTACAATTAACAACAGGACATGTTAGTAACTTTGTGTACCTTCTTCTATGTATATCATTTCAGTTTAAAAGCTTGAAATCGCTTATGAACGTGTTTGTACATATTTTCATGAAATGTAAATCGGTTTTTGGATCTTCTACAGCTTATAAATACGTAAATAAATGAATAAGCGATTATAAACTTTTAAATACTAGCATGGATTTATTTAATGGAGGTACTAAACTTACTAAAATTATCGTCCCGTTTACTAACATCTGGCATAAATAACGTGGTGTCCACTGCATTTGGTATAACAAAAATTTTCTCCTTCGGTACCTTAGCCCTTAACACAGTATTCTCTTTACTCGTATGTGATACACATATACAGTGATCACAGTCGGCTAACGATATCTCTAAAAATTTGTTTGTCAAGATCGCGGAGGCGTCGGCGAAACCGAACAGCGAATGATCTGTAAAAATGGTCTGAAATTTCAAATATAGTTACTATACGGTTTTCCGTTTTCTTCAAACAATCGTTGACTTACTTTCAATCCCATTAATCTACCGATTAACATCCCTTCGTGTGCGAGGGCAGAGAATGCTGAATGACCATGCACTATTTGAATCTCCTCCCTTATAAAAATGTATCTAATAAGAGGAATGGAACAGATCATAGTTGGAAGAACACATTGATTGTAGAAGACCTTCACCGGTATATAATACACCTTGGAGGAGAAATTGTTTAGCTTTTCACGGTAGGAATAAATAACTGTTACTAGTAGATAAATGTAATACATACTTTCAGACCATTCGTCATATAACGTACTCCGATTCTGTCACCATACGAATGGGTAAGCACTACAACTTTGTGTCCCTGACCGAGCAGGCATTGAGACAAATTAAAAATATGCTCTTCTACCCCTCCCATGTTGGGATAGAAAAAGTCAGAGACCATACTGTAAGAATTCATTATGTGTAAGTATTTTTTTCTTCATTGTTTCTTATATATTTATTCTCAATAAATTACTAACCATATCTTATGCTTTATAGTACTCATCTTTACATCTAAACAAGTGCATGACTCATGCAATACTCATAACGTGTGTTAAAATTTGGTTTATAGGTATTCCCCCAAAACCTCTTCAATGTTATGTATTGAACTTTTGAAACAAAACATGTTTCTGAATATTTGAATAAATTATACGTGCAAGTTGTTGTCCAAATAAAATTGTTCATATTTCTACAGCAAAAAAGAAGATTAGAATAATTAAAAAAACATTTTTCACTGGCAAAAATTAGAATAGGTTAGGTGATATGTTTACGTTCTTCATGTTATGTCTGCGGACAATTCCTTTTATTTCCTTTGGTATAATGAAAGAAAATATGGTGTTCATTAATTTTTTTCTTTTCTAATTATATTGGCATTGATAAGTTCGTCGCGATTGCGTTGAAAATCGTGAAAAATAAAATTGAGTACGACAATCCGTTGTTTATAATAGGGCGGGGCAACGACATCTTTAAATCGAACTCGAAACAACCGTATTCGATTCAATTCGATTCGATTCTGTTCACCAAGAAAATCAATGTTATCGAGCCTCCGTTTCTCGAAAGGACGATAGCGGGAAATTCAAATTTTTTTCTTGTTCTACGCTCGTAAATCTCTGAAGTCCACGGACTGGTAAGAACAGAACAATCTAACAAATATAAAGAAATAATATGAAAAACATATATATAGTAATTTAATAAAACATAAATAATAGAGACATATAACTGATGACTTCACATTATAGCACGTGTTAAAGTACTAACGTTTCCTCATAGAAAACGAAGACATTTTGTCAGCTCCACATTTTCTTTCTCTTTCCTTCTTCGCGACAATTTTTAAACGTTAAAATTGTTGCTTGAATTATCGTTTAATCATTTATTGTTACATTTATACGTGTACTTAAGTGTAAGATTATTTGTATAATACATATTGTAACATGTTCCTTTAACAGTATTAATACTTGTTACCAGAGGTAGTACCACTTTATGATTAACGTTACTTAAAATATTATTTGTTATTTAATATTTTAAATGATTTGTGTCAAGTAAATTATCTGCGCATATAGAGAGAGAAGCACTACATCGAAGAGGAACGGGAACATATACAGCAGACGTTAGTTCAAGAGAGAAAAGGGATGATGAGAGAAAAGGAGAGGGGCTATGCATAGTTTGGTTATATGTCGACGGCGGTGCACAACAAACGGTCGACATGTTTCATCGACGATGCGGTCACCGTGTTACTTTAACGAACAACAATTGCACGGCCATACGAGACTTCTCCGAATACAATTATGGATTGGTGCTCAGCGCGGAACCCCTCAAGGATGGCGAACTTTTCGAAGTCCGCATCGACAAAAAGGTAACCATGGGATTTTCATGTCTCTCCAGTTCAGTGGGCATCCCCGCCGCTGGTTTCCTGCATCTGTCAAAACGTTGTTTACAGTGCAGTTTTTTTTTTATGTTTCACGTGTACCGTTTATCTCGTCACTCTATAAATGTGACTGTCATGTGACAAAACGTACAGCAAACGCGCGAACTTCGTAACATTTTTGGTGCTTATTTTCTTGTATTTGTTTCGCCATTGGCATCGTATTAATTTAAATTTAAGAAATGAAATAAAAATAAATATTCGTATAGTGTTTAATGTTAATTCGCTTGGAAATTAGTTGGTAGAGTAAATACTTCATTAAAACTTTGCGCAGATGACATCATGGAGCGGTAGTATAGAGATTGGAGTGACAGAATGCGATCCGGAGGTCATAGAACTGCCCGCCTGTGCTACTAGTCTCTTTCAAGGAACATGGATCATGACCAACTGCGGTATCGTTCATAATGGTGCCAGAATGGTGGAAATGTACGGAATAGATCTTAGCACCTTGGAAGAAGGAAATACCTTGGGTGTATTGAGAACACCAAATGTATGTTGTACCGATTATATGTTAATACTTGTTTGTATATTTTAGTTCACTTCTTTCTCATTGTTCTTCTGTTCTAGCATGAACTGGTGTTTTACATCAATGGCATCTCTCAAGGTGTCGCTGTGCCCAATATACCAGAACGCATTTTTGCAGTTGTAGATATGTATGGTGATTGTGTGCAAGTGACCATCATTCATCCACAGGTCACACCCGCTTTGCCTGACGATCCGAAGGAAGAAGTTGAAATCAATAATGACTATGTCCTTGGGGAAGCGTCTAATTCCTCCACAACTAATCTAGTCGCTAATTTGAATGTTAATTTAAATGTTAATGTGAATGTTAATTTACCTAAGAATCCAAGCCTTGCTGCCATTAGAGAGGATAGACTGAGGTTTCACGAGAGAGTGGGCTCATTGGTAAAACTTTCAAACAATGCTAGGACTGCTGAGAGAAGGAGACCTTTAAATGAATTTAACAATGGAGTGGTAATGACTCATAGGCCATTGAGAGATAATGAATTATTCGAGGTAGATGAAAATACATGGAACACAATGAATTGTTAAGACAGACAAAGTTATGTAACAAGTTGTGTTACTACAGGTACGAATTGATAGGCTTGTGCATAAGTGGTCAGGTAGTATAGAAGTTGGAGTCACCATGCACAGTCCTACAGCTCTAGAATTTCCAGCAACAATGACTAACATGCGATCAGGAACAACAATGATGTCTGGATGTGGGATTCTGGTGAATGGAAAGGGCACCTGTCGCGAATATGGGCAATTTAATCTGGACGAGCTGATAGTAAGATCAAAATTTATTGCAGTTTTATTAGATACACTTCTATTTACACATTGGAAACATTTAGGAGGGTGACAGGGTAGGCATGGTTCGAGGAATCAATGGAAATCTTCATTACATAATTAACGGCTTGGACCAAGGTATAGCTGCTAAAGTTCCTGCAGGTGTTTGGGGGGTAATTGATCTCTACGGTATGACGGTGAAAGTAACAATCGTGGACCGGGATGAAAGGGAGGAACAAAATTTGGTTACCAGGAGAAACACATTGCAACTTCAGGATCTAAACGGTAATTGTTATTAATATTTCATTTATACAGTATCTTGAACTGTTACATTGAATCGCCTCTAATTTTCAGAAGCAGAAGATGAACCACCAGATAGACTCATGTTCCACACATGTTGTGGAACACATGTAGATGTGATTAATAATGGCCGCACTGCATACAGACCCAAGTAAACAAATTTTACAAAGCACATTTAAATATTAATGTACATTATAAATTATTCACACGTGGCTATGTTCTAGTGTAATGGATGATTTCAACAATGGAGTCGTATTAACTTCAAGACCACTCAAGCCGAATGAATTGTTCGAAGTCAGGCTGGACAAGATTGTCACAAAATGGGCGGGTTCCATCGAGATAGGAGTCACCACTCATTCACCCACCGAACTCGAGTTCCCTTTCACGATGACGAATGTTAGGTATGCGAAACAACATGTCCAATTGCTGTCAACGCGCGTCTATCCGTTCGGAATTTACGTTAAGTTCGTTGCCCGTGTTATTGCTCGAAGGTGGTCATGTCCCTTGCAGATCCGGTACATGGATGATGACGGAGAATGGCGTTATGCATAATGGAACTGCAATTATAGATCAATACGGGCAGAATCTCGACCGACTGCAAGTAGGGGACCGTGTTGGCGTCATGCGGAAGGATAATGGAACACTGTATTTCTATGTAAATGGCGCGGACCAGGGAGCTGCAGCGATGAACGTGCCTGAAAGGGTTTATGGTGTTATAGATCTGTACGGGCAGGCTGCGCAGGCAACTATAGTGGACAACACAGACTTCTACAGTCCTACCACGAACAATTCAAGTTTCAGCAACACAACTCTGTATAGGTTTGTAGGCTTCGCGCATTTTGAAGCAGATGAAATCTATTGTTTCAATGTTCTCATTGTGTTCCGCGAACAGTGATTTAAGGTTCCATCACATACACGGTAAGAACGCGAAAATAATAAACAATGGATTGACTGCTCTGAGGCCTAGAGCATTGGGTGAATTCAACGAAGCCATCGTGATCGCAAATCGCGCTCTAAGGGACGGTGAAATGTTCGAAGTGACCATCGATAAAATGGTGGATCGTTGGACAGGAGCTATCGAAGCTGGTAAACATTTCTACGTAGAGGTTATGATTTATGTTTTTCGAGTACGTGGCCTTTATCGACTCCTTTGTTCGGAGCACCATAGCTCCGGGAGCAGTTTCGTTTCTTTTAGGAACTTTATGGTGTTTATTGTATGGTCTTGCGAGGATAAGACTGAAGGATGGTTTATTCTTTGTATTTCAATCTTTGATTTTGCAAATTTTCGCTCTTTGATATTTTTTGCAATCAAATACGATCTGGTTGGTTGGTTGTCATAGTTGGTCGTCGGGACAACAGTTTATAAATCCTAACGAATGGATATTGTAGGTCTGACTCTTATAAGACCTGACGAATTAGTGTTTCCGTCCACTATGACGGATATTGATCATGATACCTGGATGTTGTCCGGATCAAACGTTATGCGAGACGGTGTTACCGTGAGAAATAATTACGCCTGTGATTTAGACAAGGTAGTGGAGGGTAATAGGATTGGTATGATGCGATGTTCGGATGGTAGCTTGCATTATTATCTAGACGGTGTGGATCAAGGATCCGCTTGTACCGGATTACCGCCACACGTGTACCCTGTAATTGACCTGTACGGTCAGTGCGTTCAGGTAAAAGTTCATTATTTTCAGAATAATAACTTAAAAGGGAATTTCATATCACTTTAACTTATTCGAAGGAAAAGTGATCATGGAAAAGCATTTAATTAAACATTGGATAAATATTATTAGGTGACAATCGTACTACCAGAACGCAGGGATCCCATAACACAGCAGTACTTGCCATCAGAAAACAGTATTAGTCAGCAGCCTACTTCTGTGATCCAACTGCAAGCACAGACAGAGATCATGCACAAGTTCCATGAGTCCGTTGGCTTGTACATTCAACTGAATACCGATAGAACAGTGGCGACTAGATGTAGAGGGTACAACAACGCCATACTGTTAAGCGAGACTGCATTAGAGAATAACGAGCTGTTTGAAATTGCTATCCAAGAGGTTGCCAGAAAGTGGAGTGGTTGTTTGAGAATAGGAGTGATCACTAACGAGAATGGAAGCCGGTTGACATCTATGAATCTCGTACCTGGCATGGGATCTATTCCAGCTGACGCATGGTATTTGACAGGTAATTATCTATTAAAGGGTGACACCACCTTACCATACACATAGGTGTATATTCTTTGTTTACCAACATTTCTTATGTTTCAGGTAACGAAGTGAGACACAACGGATACGTTCTCTGCATGAATTACTGTCCAAGTTTGGAGTGGTTACGCGTGTCCGATAAAATCGGTTTGAAACGTACTCACGAGGGTAATTTGAAGTTTTACATAAATGGGGAAGACATGGGAGTGGCAGCGTCCAACATACCGGAAGGCGTGTACGCTGTGATCGAGCTCTTCGGCACCACTGTGGCTGTGAACGTTACCAGCAGCAAACAGCAAAACCCTGCAGTGTCGCCGAATGCTAGTCTAAGATTGCAAGACTCGTTGGAATTGCTGCTGGACCCTATGCCACCGGTTTTACGGAAGTACGTTCGATTTGAAAATATAGGGTGTCGCAGAAAAATATTACCACACTTTGTTTGTTTATAAAGTATTCATTAAATATCATACTATTTGCTTTCAGTGTTTATATTTATTGTATTTATATCATTTTTTTATTTACAGTGACACTGGGATGGACACATCAGTGGATGTGTCAGAGGGGAAGTTAGTGAACGACGCCATTCTCACTCCAACGCAACCTCCTCCTATTCATTTGACAGGCGAAAGCGACTGGAACTATGAGTTCCATGAGAACCACGGAAGGAACGTACAGTTAGAAACAAAACTAATCGCGCGACGGGTAGCAAGCTATAACCAAGGTACCATTAATGTTCTTTTAATTAAAATTACCAATGTACACACGTCGTTAAACATTCTCATTTAACATTAATCATCTTGTATATTACAATTGTTTTCAAGCAATGTAGAATATATGTTTTCTTTTACAAGGTGTGGTAATGTCTAGTCGCCCCCTAATAAAGGGCAAACCATTCGTAGTGAAAGTAGAGAGGTTAAACGAGCGATGGGTCTCCAATATTCTTTGCGGTGTGACTTGTATCTCTCCGGAAAAAGCGAATTTCCCTCTGACTGCGCTTGGTTTCAAAAAGCACTCGTGGATCATTTGCAGCGATTGGATATTACATAATGGTACCAGGGTAAGCGTCAATGGAATGATTCACTGATACAAAGCAGAACAATGAGAAGTAATTCGTAAATTTTCAAATAGGTGAAAACGAAATACGGAGCTGGCTTGGACAATCTCCAGTCCGGTTCCGTGGTAGGTTTATTCATCGACGAGGACAATAGGTTACATTTAATCATTGACGGTATAGATCAAGGGGTTGTCGCGACGGATTTGCCCCCGTACGTTTACGCGGTGTTCGACCTGTATGGTCAGTGCGAGCAGATCTCCATCGTCGGAAACACCGTAGAGACGTTCTCGGCCGCTTCCGTCGACAACACAGCAACCGTAGGGTCCATGGAATTTATCAGAGCTAAAATAGAAGACACGGAAAACTCGAGGGAGAAAGCTGATCTGGAGTGTCACGAAAAGGAAACTGTTGTCGCGGCCACGTCCTCCGACTTGTCGCCTTCCACTTCGCCAAGTGTGTCCAGTCAATGCAGCTCCAACGTTAAGATCGACAATATCGTAGATTACTCTGGTGTTTCCAGTGGCAGCAATTTGGAGCCGAGCGCGGAGACGAGCAGCGAGCCGAAAGGCGAGAAGAGCAAGACCTATAACAATTCGAATCAGCTGAGTCACAGCGAGTGTACAAATGTAGAGATAAATAACGCGACTAACATTAACATTAAGAACTGCACAGTGAACAGTAGTAGCAATATAAGCAGCTTGAACTGCAACAACGCGATAAACGAAAGCATAGCGTCCAACAGTCAAGGGAGTAACATAAGTGCCACGCATCAGATCATGCTAAGCTCGTCGCAGACATTCTCATCTCAGAATACTCTGAACAACGTAACGTCGGATGTGTCTAATACCGTTTCTTCCAGTTTCCATGAAATACGCTCTAACATGTCCTGGAACAATACCGCCGACAAAACTCCTGTTAGTGGGAACACAACATCGATGGTACAGAGTACGACCCCTGTTCACAATGGGCCCACTTCGCAATTGCTGCAAGCTCCGTCCACACCGCCTGGAACGAACGCTATAACCTCGAAAAAGTGCGAGTACTTAAAGGCCTGTATAAGGTTGAAGAAGTCGCTGATCCTGCCGGATGAATTTTTCTCTCTGGACGATGTGTTTTGTTACTGCAGCGCTTGTTACAAGGTAGAAGGGGACAGTGCAGTTTGCAAGAAAGGCGAGCCTCCAGCGGAGTTTGCTGTACCAGTTGGTTGGACTAGGTTTCCATTGAAACAGTGCATCAATGCTAATCAAATTCCACAAAGTACCACGGATAAGTGGCACGTTGCATTTTATGGGATTCGTTTGGACGCGATCAGGTAAGGAATATATTGTTAATCGTAGTTGTATTAACCTTTCTTGTATCGGACAATACATTGCATTCTCTGAAGTTAGAATAAGTAATACGCAATGGATCAAAACGTTTGATGAATCTATAAAGAATAAACATTCATTTACAGGTTAATTTTAGATACAGGGGAGCTGATGACAAAGGAACAGCTAGATATTAGCAATTTCACAATGAACATGAAAGCGGAAGACCAGAATCCACAAGTAATCTTCTCCCCCAGTATAAAGTACGCCACGTCTGAAGAGTTTACCAGAAAGTATCCGTAAGTAATTTCAGCTTCAATAATTTCAACAACAATGTATCGGGTGTAATGGATTGTTTGTCGTATAGATACATTGATACCCAGTCGAATAAAAAGCTGAATGCATCCACCGCGTTTCAACTACTGGTCAGACCTGGCTCGTACACGATCAGCCCAGGCGTGAAAGATGTCAGCGATTCCCAATTTGAATCCAGCAAATGGGCAACCAAAGAAGCAGGAGCGACAGTGATTATGGCTCTTATGATTCACCTCGATGGATTTTAATTTAACGTCCATCCTCGCTCTCTTTTCCCCCTCAGTTCCCAGCGAGAAGGGTGAGAGTGTTTCGCATTGTGATCCGCAGCGAGAGTTGCGTCGTCGTTTTTCGTTTTAAGGATAAACGAATGTACATAACCGTGAAATTACGTAATATAATTACCGTAAGATTTTTTAAGGTCGATTTTTTATCTTCAATTATTCCAAGTCGAATCTTCGTCGTGTATGTATATTTACGTTGTTGAATTCTGCGTTAGGTACTTCGGTACGAGTCGCCGGTAGGAGTATCCTGTAAAGACCCGTTTATTCGGAGTGTTCTCAGTTACCTTCCGTCTTAGTTCAGCATGCAATTGTTAAAAGAAACAGGGGTAATTTTTCGTTAACTACCGATTGAAATGTTTCTGATACGATGGGTTCGTTATATAGTACACAGTAGCATGTGTATCGAGTACATAGTACGTGTATTATGTTATGCAGGTAATGTTAGCTACTGGCCTAGGTTTACGTTGACAAGGATTATGCCAGACAAGTTCGTCGCTAGATCAAAGAGACACTTTAATCGTCGAGATTTATGCCTAACGAATACCAAATCTTTAAGTATTAGTCAAGACGAACGGAAATCTCTCTCTCTCTCTCCTCTCTCTCTTTCTTTCTCTCTCTTTCTCTGTCTCTGTCTATCTCTTTTTCTCTCTGTCTCTCTACCTCTCTATATCTATTTATCAATCTATCTATACACCTATCTTCTCTCCCTCTTATCTCTATCTATATCTACTTATCTATCAATCAATCAGTCTATCCGTTAATCTATCTACTTATCTAATCTTTTGTTTCTTTGTTTACAAAACACACCGCTCTGTCACGTCGATTCAGAGACACTTTTAATGTATAATGTAGAAATAAAAATTGATGCAAATTGTAATTCACACAAGCTTGAGACTGTTCTCGGAGTGTTCTAAGAACAAACATTTCTCTCACGCGTATTGGATAGATCCCAGAAGAAAATGTAATTACTATATTTTCAAATACGCTGTTTAGGGGCGCAGTTTTCCTTTGTGAATATATATATATATCATGTGCATTGTTTATAAGAATGCGTGTGAGTAATATAAATTGAAAAGAACAGAAAAAGAATCGTCGACGTGTTTGTATTTGTAAATCAATCGCTAGTTCGTTTTCTTTCGTTTTATTTTTATTTAACATTTCTTCTTCTAATTTTATTTATTTTTCAGTTAGAAAAAAAAGCGAAACAGAAACCAAACGTTCCCAAGTGTCACGCTTCGAGCAACTGTTCTCTTGAATAGATGTAGAATATGGTCCCTGCACCTTACGATAGAAATATCAAGAGATTCTACATTCATTCGTATATAGAAATTCAAATAGTTATTTAACTTAATACGCATATATATATATATATAGTTTTCTTGTAGAATCCTTCCAGACCTACACTTTCCTATATCAAAAATTAGGGAACAATGAAGCGCAGACTTGAATAAACTCTTCAACAGAAAGAAGATAAGATGATTGCTGCTCTCTCGTAATCCTCCTCTCTTTTGTTTCAACTCTGAGACGTTATTGGCGATTTCCTCTAATGTCTAAACCCAAATTCGTACATTTTGATCCCAGGAGCAAGTAGCGACAGCCATACCATTTCCAGAAACACTCAGCGACGTCACACGGTTTTCGTGGCCTGATAAGACACCTGGAAAACCAAAGGTACCAATGAGAACCATTCACAAAGGTTGTTTAATCTTAAGTCTAACCTCTCACGTTATTTTAGGAACTGAACACTTACCATTGTACTGGTTCTTCAACGTGTCCCATATATGGATATTATTGTCGTCACTTCCACAGAATATAAACCTACCACTCGAGGACAAGCCACATGATGTGAACCCAGGCTTTGAGTTTGGTGGCTTGAACTCTGCTATCTGCTGATCCGACCTCAAGTCCCACAACCTTGCTGTTTTGTCTTCCGAGGCTGTTACAAAAGCTTGTCCGGACGGATGGTACTGAAAGATAATAACATAAACTAATTTTTAGTCTGGGATACAGTCCGGGCTATAAAGGAATCATGCTGGAAGCCATGAAGAGGTAGAAGTTCCATTCCAGTGATTCTCTATACTCACGCAAACAGAATTGACATCAGCCTCATGACCAAAGAAGGTCTGCTTCGCAGTCTCATCTCTGAAGTCCCACAGCTTGCATGTCTTGTCCACTGATCCGGTGATGTAGTTATTCATATCTGGAGATAAGCTGATGCTGACAACATCTCCAGCGTGCGCACAGAAGTCTGTCGTTTTCTTATTTGCTTCCAGGTCCCATATACAGCTAAACAGTTTGATAATTTTTATTCTGTTAAACTCTCAATTACTCCCCTAACAATTCCTGTATTTTAGGTCAGCGTACATTTTCATGTCACCGGATCCAGTGAGGATCTTCTTGTCCTCCAAGAACCTGCACGAAGAAAGGAAACCCTCGTACCCTAGCAGCTCTCTGACTATCTTCGCGGAGCCCGTGGCGTCACGGTTGTTCACGTCGTAAACGGTACACATGTTGTCCATGCCACCACAAGCAACGAAGTTCCCCGAGGGAGCGAACGCCACGGACATCACCCATGCTGACCGTAGAGGAATTACCTGGACTTTGTTGCCGGTCCACGAGTCCCAGATGATCAACTTACCGTCCAACGAGCCTGTCACGCAATGCCTGAAAATCGTAGCGAGTCTCTTCAGAAGGTACTCGACAATCAATCGGTTCCCGTTAATACAAGACCAGAGCACAATCGTTACGCTCGACTTGAAGAAGAAAATAAAAGGATTGAGACTGACCTACTATCGCCACTGTAGTGCACCGAGTTCACCTTATTAATGTGTCCCTTTAACAACTTTTTCGTAGATAATTTCACCTTGGGAGCGTCCGCTACACTGCCGCACGCCTCCTCCAAAGTGGTATCCTGTTGTTTCTTTTGATCCTCCTGGTGTGCAAGGAAGAAACATTGTTTTCTTTT